AATAATGTTCCTTATGAACCATGAAAGAATGAGTGCATTTAGAGAGAAACCTCATGTTTACATAAATACTTCTGAGCTCATCTGTTCCTCAAGACCTCTATTGTCAGTGGAGACGGTTCTCGCTCCATATTTAACCATACGTCACGTAAAAACCTGCCTAGAGGGTCATAGATCATAAATGCACTGGCTGTGGTGTCTTCTCTGATTTAATATTTCATTGTTGTTCTGTGAGTTCATGTTAAATGGGTCGTCTTGCCATCAGTTGCTGACGGAGATATCTATCTGCGCCAAAATGAAGCCTTAATGATGATTTGTTTTCTTCTATCATGGAATTGACTTTGCACTTTGGTACAGGGACTTGGGAGGTGAATGTATCTTTCTCATTTTAACCCTAGTTACGTGAGAACTGTTACAAGATTTTAAATAATCTACCATGTGATAATATCATTTATGAGAAAACACTATATTTATTAGGCTGGTTGTTCTAAATATGTACGTTGAATGAACGTAAAAGGCTTTATTCAGCCATAGCAGTCTGACAAATCTACTTTTACACAGCTCTGTGGATTGTTTGTATGTAATGTACTGTAATATACTTTGCACAAATGTCTAAAATAAAAGAATAAGATGTAGAATGTTTGGCTTTGTGTCATTGTTTATGATTTAAAAAAATGTAAGCATATTTTTGCATTATTATGAAAGTATAGATCATAAGAATAACATTTTCTCTATGTAATTAACATTTTTATTTTATGTGTATTTCTGTATTATATTTGTTTTTGAAAAAAAAAATAATAATCTGTTGGTCACCAAGGCTGCATGCATTTATTGTGAAATATTACAATTTACAAATTTTTCTTTAAAAAAATAAGAATAACAGTTTCTTTATATAATTAACATTTTTCTTTTATGAATAGTGTTGTATTATATTATGTTTTTGAAATTTAATTAATTACTTAATTGTTTTCATTATTTAATAAAAAACAAACAAGCAAACTAAAAACCTAAAAACACTAATATTGGGAAATATTACAATTTTAAAAAAATTCTTTAAGATAAGTTTTCTATGTAAATATATTTTAAGATATAGAACATTTTGCCATGCGTTATACGACTGACAGACTGCAACGGTTGGAGTTAAATATCATCATATGTGTTCTACTGAAGAAACAAAGTCACCTACATCTCGGATGCCCTGGGGGTAAGCAGATAAACATCACATTTTCATTTGAAAGTAGACTATACCTTTAAGAATTTTAATTAATATTCATGAGGAAGATTCTTCGCCTCGGTCTGATTGGAGCGTTATTCTGTGCGTGCGCGGCGAGGTAAGACGTCAAAAATGAGATGGCAAGAAGTTTGGAATAATGGGGAGGAGAGAGAATCCGTGTATCATTCGATCATTCGTTTTTTTATTTAATATTGAAAGTAGAAAAATTAGAAAACGGCTCCTTTTTCATTTTTTCGTTTTTCTCCAAAAAAACGAGAAACGAGAATTCAGCTTAAATTTTCGTTTTTCGTTCATGGGTGGAAAAATGAATAAACAGCTTGAATATTTGA